GAACCCCAAATTAAATTTCTTAAAGAGAAAATTAGAGAAAGAATCCTCTCCGCCAAGCCCAACCCATTTCGATAGGAACTACAGGGGATATATTACTTTATGGAGATGGGAGTGATATTAGGTTAGGCAACCAGAATAAACCCTCGAAATATTTACCAAAATGAATGATTTATTCAAAATTCAAAGACAAATATCTAAATATCCCTTGACTAAAGTACATGCCCCAAATGTATTGCATCAATATGTCCAAGTCCCCATTCGAGTAAAATTAAAATTTCAAGCACTTCCATTATCAGATGACAATAAAACACTCAAGTGCTTAGACCGGTAATGGCGAGAGAATTCGGTTTTAAAGTAGGTCCGGACCAACGTCCTCAAGGAAAAGGGTACTTCGGAACATCCGATTAAATTCCAGCTTTTCCCGCCTTCTTCCCCTCTCTAATCAACGTAACGCGCCAAAAAGACACACATGACGTATGAGTTATCTTGCGAGTCACGTGCTCATTCAAGCGCTTGTTGTATGCGTGGCTAGCATTCGAAATCTTAGTCTTCTGGCGCGGTCAAGTGGACACCTCGCCAAATGACTTGAGGAAAGACAGACAGACAGAGATAGAGAGAGAGAGGGGGGGGGGGGGGTGAGACGAAGAACTATACTGGCAAGCATTTGCAAAGGCAGAGAGCGACAATGATCATACAGGATCGTGAACGATACAGTATTAGGCTTGCATATTGCATGAGTAAATTAGGTCATTTGCGAGGCTTTGATCACCCCGCAATGGATGGAAAGAAAGATGAAGTCATGGTTACGCCTATTGCACACGGGGCGTCAATTGCTGACACAGGTCTGCGTCAGCGACTGACGCGGTCTTCGAGGCGCCTAGTGAGAGTGACATTTTACGAAATGTGAACGCAACGTGAATAATAATGACAATAACATTCAGTCCTTGTATAGCGCATAATACGTTATGAAATAACATCTCTATGCGCTTCCAAAGAGCTTTGTAAATTATTTCCCCAAGCTTTTAGCTCCGGCAGCCGTTATCAGCGCACAGTGCATTTCAAGGAATAATCCTACCAGGTACCCATTTACCTCACCTGAGTTGAGTGTGGCAAATGTAGATCAATGTCTTGCCAAAGGACATTAGTGCCGCGGCGGGATTAGTGCAAACACTGTGATGAATTACTGGTATATATTCACGAATTGCCTGCAGAGCGTAGGTAATATCACAATTGAAATAACGCCTCGCGCACAATGGACACGAGGACGGTTCGTGTGACGTTGCTCAGGTCCGGCACGCTGGAGTGGTGTACTTAAAGCATGTACTTAAAGCAGGACGTAAACACGTGAAAACATGAAGTGGACAGGTACAACGTTAAGGACAGGAAATGAGGAAGTAAGTTGCAATTTAACATGAGACTGACGTCCTCAAAGAACATTCCTCTTCCTCTCTTGTCTTCTCGAAGTTGTTTTATTCACATCTAACGAAGATCTTCGTCAGGTCTTTCCTGAATAACACGCTGCTAATGTCATCGTTGTCCTTAACTTCTTCAAATTTGTAAACTTCTTTTCTTATATTCTCTGTTTGTTCTCCTTATTTCTTATGTTGCTCCTTTTCTTTCCCCCACCACTTATTTTGTAAGTTTAACCATCAGGTCTTAACTCAGGGCGTTTTCAAACAGGAAAAAGTGTCACAATATTAAAGAAACTACTGGAAGAGGATACGGACGGCTACCTGGAAAAGGATTTAAGGGGAACTTGCATAACAACATTACATAATTCACAGACCTTTTCCGAGGGTAGGTAGCAGTTGTTCTTTTTAATTCTACCCCTGTTTCTGCGGTCAGATTCTTGTTATGGAAATTTCATTAGAAGATGGTAACGCCACATGTTCATCATGGGCAGCGGTTTGTATGGCATGGCGCTGTTATGGCGTAAACTCTATGGGCTGATCGGCCGTAACACGTTGGGACACCTAGGCTTCATTTTCAGACGGCGTCGCAAATCAAATTACTCCATCTATAGGTATATATATCTATGGTATCGTTTCATGTCCAATAATACAAACGCTAAACCATCTGGGTCTGCTACGATCTATCACAGTCTGTTTTCGGGAGCGAGAAGGGCATGAACTCATGCACTTTAACACAGAGTTAACACCCTTCTGGCTGCGCAGTGATATTGTTTTGCTGTTGCTTCTCATTGAGAGAAAACATTTTTTCAAGTTTAGTGTAGAAAATCGTGGTATATTGGGTAAGCATAGATTTCCATGATAACGACGACACGACTCTGATCTATAATTCAATAATCAATAAGTATGTATATAATATATATATGTGTATACATTTCTCTTGCATGACAACAAATTAATCAATATTTTGTATTTATTACCTTAACCTAGTACGTCAAAAGGATATAAATATATTTCTATATTGGGATATGTTAATCCCTTACGTATTCGATAAAACAAAAATGATCAATCGTAATTATTGTATGTTATTGTATGCTCATAATGTGTGGGGAGAATAGGTGTGTGCGCGTGTGGGGTGGATAGGTGCGTGCGCGCGTGTGTGTGTTATATACATTACGCGAACATGAGAGAGGAGTACATTATTATTGTAATGCCAAAGCGATACTGACATGTGACGAAGTCGGATACCATGTGCAAATTAATTCAAGCGTAAGTGGTTTGTTGATGAAAGAATTCATCACAAATGGTCTGAGTGGCTAAACTAGTGGCTAATTTTGGTAACAAATGCTGCAGGGGTGTATATTTTGGAATGGAAATGCATAATGCACGCCGGTACAGAAAAACAACGCCATCGTGAACGCGTAATGGTGACTACTACACATACACACAGAGACACACACACACGATCAAATGGGAATTAATGATAGGGAAACGAGGGAATTTCATGCCCTTTCAGGGGAAAAGTGATTGTAGGAAAATGAAGTGAGCAACAGGGAGAGTGTGATCAAAAGGGCGTGTATGAAAATAATTATAGAGATTAATGTGTAATTAAGACGGATATAAATAATGTACAAAGTACTATACAAATGAATGGTGCACGGTTTTGTATATATATATATATATATATATATATATATATATATACCGTGAAAAATATAAACCTTGTTGATGATATAGAATAAAGGAATGTGCTTAATTAAAGTCCCTCTAAATTGAGGGGACCCCCAAAATCGCCAAAAATGTTAATGGCAAAATTTCATATTTGTATCGTAATGTGAAAGAGGATGTCATTTAAGATACACTTCTGCCAAGATTTCTCCCAAAATTTGGTTTCAAGACAAATATTGAAGAAAACAAAATACACAATTTGAGTTTTCTGTTGTACGCAGAAAACCTAAATTTTGTTTTCTTTCATCAATATTCGACTTCAAACACATTTATTTTGAAAATCCTTGCAGAAATGTGTCTTAAAAAAACATCCTCTTTCACATTATGATACAATTTAAGTCAAATTTTGTCATCCAATTTGTTGGGGCTCCTAACACTTTAGAGGTGAATTAATAATGTATTGCATCTGTCTGGAATTTCGTGTAAGAGACGTATTTATACTATCAACTTCTGAAACAGAGAAAGGCAAATAATCCATCTGGCTTCCTATCATATATAAATAAACATTAAAATAGTAAGCGCCAATTGAGAAAAAGAGATATATCTCATAACCCGATTTTGAATGTAATATTTGTGACCTTTTTAAGAATAACAAATACATTTTCATTGTCAATTTCATTATAAACTTTTCAATTTAAAGACATGCCTACCCTGATTACTTCTTATATCAAATACAATCAGTATGAAATACTTTACTAATGAGCTTACATTAATATATTTGACTATGTGTAAAATATTTTATTGTAGCACATTGATATTCATATATATATATATATATATATGTATGTATCGGACTCTAAAGTTTCTTTGACTTTTTATACATTATTTCTACTATTGTTATTTATCTGTTTGTATTTTTTTTATTTGTATTTAAAATCCAACCCCAAATTTTGGTTGCAATAAAGAAATAACAATAATATCTGTACTCTTATTTTGAAAAATGAGAACGCCATAAATATGGAATAAAATAATAAATAGAGGGCATAAGAATATATGGACCCGCTGGTGAGAAGGATAAGTTCATTAAACTGGGATGATAGAAGTTAATTTGGTATACACCTTCATATCTTAGGAGTAATAGAGCGTAGCATCATTATCACAGTACATTGACGACTTTCGCACGTGAATGTGTGAGGCAGACGGGGAGAAAAATGGTAACGGTACAAACGACCAAGAGAGAGAGAGAGAGAGAGAGAGGGGGGCATGGAAACAAATGACAGCATTTATATGATGCAAAAACAGAGGGATTCACATGTATCCTGATACAGGATGATGACAATACGATTACAAATTTTGGAATAGCATCTTTGCTATAACTGTTCAAAAACGAAATGATGATACCTATAAAGTATCCAAATTTATTGATGAAAAACAACATGAGTTCAGTGTGTATGTTTGAAAGTTCGTTATGTCCAGATGCTATGTAGTATTCGATGGAGACAGATGAAACTTTTGAATGAAGGATGTATCATATAGCCTACTTAAGATAATGATGGTACACGAACATACAATGGTGCAAATATGATTATGATGGCACAAATAAAACGTGATAAATTATCCCAAAGATTGGAACTTTAACCAGATCGCAAAAGTTTAACAAAAACATGTTCGGCCTACATAACTATATAGTTTATTCTGAAAAGAAGACATGGCAAATAATGCGTGTGTTATAAAGACTGAGAGAATGATGGGTGAGGGAGAAAGAGAGATGGGGAGGGGGGATGAGATAAAGAGAGACAGAAAGAGAGCAAAAGTGGGGCAAGTGAATACGAAATTCAGCTTTGGGCAATCTTTCGAATCTCAGGGTTATACAAGATATCCGGTACGCCGTTAGTCAAAGTTGGGAAGAAAGTTGACACCTACCTTGAATATTTGAATGACCTTTGCCGGTAAGACTGTTCCCGCTGTTGCAGATGTTCTCCGGAACATTCTAAAATGAGAAGAAAAGGTGGATTTTTGATAGAGAACGAGGTTGTTAAGTTGGAGACTTTGACAGGGCAAAAAAGGTTAAATTGTGAGAAAGGTCGAAGAAGATGAGGGTTTAAGGGATTAGGTAAAGTAACAAATCTGTTGCCTCAGTCTATCTGGCATTGCTGTCAGATGATTATAATTTAAAGGCGCATTTAGCATTGAACCAAGTTGTTGGTTGAGTTGAACTGAGCCCATATGTGTTATCAAGAAAATAGAAGGTGTTAAGGAAATAGTACGAAATGCGTGAAACACATGATTACTGTTACTTCTAGAAACTCACATGCCTGTACCTTTTACTACTAAGTTTATACTTTATCCTTTTTCTTTTGACATATCTGAGTCTATATATCTATTATCAGCAACAAAAGTTGTTTACGAAGATGTAAAGTAAGACAAACAAACATTATGAGGGCTGGTGGTATATTGGTGGAGGCTAGAGGTCCATCATTATTTTGTCTCCCTCGACCCGGAAATATTTAATAGTACCTGGCAATGCCGGGGTACAGGGTCTGCATAAAGAGTAAATATGATACCGCTTCTTCTAAATATGATCAATAATTTACTGTAATCATGAACGTTACAATGGAACTATATAGGATCTCTTACCGGTCTATGAATAGTCCCGTTCTTAAGGCCTGGACGATACTCCTGAACCGAGGTTTCTCATCCCCTAGTCTTGACTTGGTCGACTGCCGACTGAACGTCGAGGTCAACCAGTGTCGTACCTGCTCCGGTACCTCATCTGACGTCACCTCTGAGAGGTCGTCCTCCTCTTCGTGATAATGATATCTACTGCGAGAGAGAAAAAAAGAGGATATAAACTGTAAGTAAATGCACATACTCCTTGTGAAATAAGACTGTACATCACGATAAGAAACCGCACCCAATTTTTATGATTTTCCATACCGTTGTCTATTGTGATGCATTAACAAAAAATCACGATCGTGATTATCATTACTGATCAATCAGACAAAATTGTAAATATATCCCCTCACTCCTCTTTGTATCGCTCCACAATTTGAAGAGAAAGAACGAGTGCCTTCTCAAATGGTAGGGATGTAATAAATGTATCCTCCTTGTTTTTGTTTTTTACAACACGTAGAAAGTAAAATCAATACACCGAAATTAAATCATGAATCTCTGGTACCCAGGCGCGTACGAAGGATTTATTTCAAGGGGGGGGGGGGGGTTAACATTTATAAATCGGGCCGAAAATTTCGCAACGTCTCAGCCAGCCGCTGAATAAGCGGGGGGGGGGGGGGGGGTAAGAGGACATTTTTTTTTTTTTTTTTTGGTCTCGAAATTTGTAAATTTGACATTTTGCTCCGTTGGGGGGGGGGGGGGGGGGTAAGGTCAGCCTTTTTAGGTCAGCCATTTGTGTTTTTTTAATAAATAAAAAAAAATCCAAAGGGGGGGGGGTAAGGGGGTTATGGGGGGGTTACACACACAAAAATACCAAAGGAGGGGGGTTTAACCCCCCCCCCAACCTCCCCCCCCCCTGTGTACGCGTCTGCTGGTACCTCTCTGATAATTTTAAAATATCACGAACTTAAGCGATGGCAAGCATGAGAATGACTTAGTGCTGATTGGGAAGGAATAAACGGATGAAATGAGAAATAGTTTCATCACGAATCCTTTTAAGACCTCTATATTTTTGGGATGCCTCGGATGCATCACATGTGTAAATATAGCTGACACTCTTCAAAAATAGTATAAGAGTATAAATATAGAGGCGGAGATCCCGTCCTCAAAAGAAATTGTGTCACTTACGGAAGATTCTTGCTTTAAGTTTCTCATCTTTCCAATTTTAGAGAAGCTGCCGTGACAGCAGTTTCTTAACATATAAATAAAAGGGTGCTGGTAATAAATGAATATAGGCATAAAATAGATATTCTATGAGAAAAGAATGAATAACAAAAAGTCTCTAAGATATAACTTGAGCTAAGATGACACCTGGTATAAAATTTGGACTCATCGAACCTCTTCCCCCCCCCCCCCCAATCCTATCCGTACGTCTTAGCCCTTCGCTGCTCCTTCCACCCTATTCAATTTGCTAATCAACATCCCCGATGATGATAGCAGCAAACATTGCAACATCCGATAATCCAATTTCTGTGCTGGAAAGCATGTTAGTGACGTCACGGGGGTAAGGGATGGGTTTTTGATAGGATTAGAAGTACACATCGACCTTTTGTTTCTCATTCAATGAGCGATGATGACATGCAAGACCCTGAAGGTATATTGACGGGTAAATAAAGAAAACGTATATAGAATCCTACGTTCCTGGAGATCGGGAGAGTAGGGTGTAGTTTGGGCCAACTATTTCTATAGCGTATAACATAGCGGTATCCATATATACAAGGACCAATATGATATAGGAAAACAACTCCATCTCACACAGAGTTCCATCTAGTAGGTTTTGTTCGTGGTTTAACGTCGCCATAACGTTGTAATAATAGACTCTCCTACAACACTTAAACAAACAAAAAATAATTCGAACCAGCTACAACCGCAACAACAAATGCAGGAAGGGTCTTCAGATTATCAAATTCAGGGCAAAAAAAAAACCCACCTCAAACAACTAAACAGAAAGAAAGGATATACTAATTAAAAAACTTAAAATTAAGGTTATAATAATTTTATATATTGGTCATCCAACAATTAAAACAAATATTGATATATTGCATTCAGTGTTCTAAGAATAAATAAAATCGTTAAAAAAAATGCTATGACAATACCTTTTGATTCACTGATTATAAAAATACAATCTTTATATTCCATTTGATGATTTCTAGCGTCTAATTTCCTCTTGACACTTAGGATAAATTTGAGGTCTGCGTAGGAACGTCAAAAATGTGAATGTCCCTAAGAATATATATTCTTAGGGATCTTTTAGATCCCTTGTTGACTATACATTGTGAGACAAACGAATATCACTAGCGATATTATTTTCAATACTACATCCGCAATGAGTAATATATTTAGCATTAAAATATATTCTCTTCGTAGCAATATTTTTTATACATTTAACGTAGCAAAACTCTTATTATGAGCCTGATCTAAGTCCTTAATTATATTGCCAACTTCAACGTCTACACCCCATTTGCCTGGTCCTGACAGCCAGCCATGGTAAAGACGTCATTCCTTTAAAGAGTCCAGAGGGGGTACTGCAAACCCAATCAGTAGGGTGACAGGAACGACAGCTCCTGGTTCGTCACGTCCCTGGCTAAAGGCTTGATATATAACCCATACCAATCCAAGGTTGTCATATAATCTTAGAAAAAACATCCTCTGTCGGAAAAACAACTTCTTCTGATTTAGAAGTAAACAATGTGATCCCAATCACATTTCTAATTAAGTGAGCTTTGCTATTACTATTATTTTCCGTTTTTGATAAAAATATGAATATTCGAGAATCTCTGCTAATATGGCTTGTATATAATGACTAAAATTTAAGTCATCGACAAAATCAGATGCGAATTACATGTATATGTTTATATCATGCACAAGTTTCTAGATACATTACTCGGCTGTATAATACCACGGACCATGTCTCGGGCGTGCTGGTAACTGTTGTAGTTACACGTATTACATTGACTTATAGAACCCATTGAAATATAAAGCCAAAAAAGCTGGTAAAAGTGAAATTCATACAAACCCCAAACCAGTAATTCATTTTGAAAAACAGAATAAACGCACTCTCTTTAAGATATATACGTTTAAAATTCATGGGAACAACAAGTCAGAAACATAGATTGACGAGCAAAATTCATCCACAAGAGACAAGGAAAGTCTCTCCTTATTTTTTAAACTTTGCTTTCCCCTCCTTGCTTGTTTTAACATACGGACAATAATCTTATAAGGATGAGCGTTTCGACAGGTAACACCCTACCGCACTTTTCGTGCGTTCCCAATTGGCCTCACCCCCTAATATGATTTTTTAGATGTACGACTTCTTGTTTATATCTTTATGGGGTTGTTATATTTAGTCATTACTAAAGGCTCTTGTTTCCTTAACATTTTTATCAATCGAATTGCTTTTTCTTCAATAATTGCTTTCTTCTTAACGCTAATCAAATGCAATGGTTTCAGTTTCTAACATCGATATTGTAACTTGTTATTGATGATCAGTTTCAAGAAAAAAGGCCAAGGTGCATCTCATATTAAGTCCCTGGAAACTGCCTGCAAGATATTGTTTTAAAACTGGTACGATCCTAACAAATGTTTAACCATTAGATGTAATGATATCATACAAAACAAAGGGATCAATTTCGAAAACGAATCTGATCAACAACTCATTTATTACATCACTTTTAGAAATTCAGAGTTTTCAAGGATAAATAATGCTCGGAAATCTATTCTTATCCATTTGTTTGTGCCCGGCCTGTTTCTTTTTCTTTTCCATCCGTCCCTTTTAAAAGCAAAGAGAGTATTTACAAACAAATCCCCCAAAGTATAAGAAGATGTCTTTTTCATCATTCGAATCTTGTATCCACTTCCTAGGGTGTGCACCTTTCAATAATTGAGCAGCTTGCATTGAATACACGCCTAGCCTCTGCCCATTCGTTCACCCCATGGTCCCAAGTGTAGAACTTGCCATAAGTAGGCCTTGCCGAGGGCTATGCTAACAATTGCGTCGTTTAAGATGCTACTGAATAATTCATCGCAGCTGGGAGAATTCGAGACGCAAAATGGCCAGGCAAATGTCTGTGCTTAGTCGTTCAAATCATAAATAACTACATATATGAATGTATAGCACTGGGCAGGAGGAGATTATATGATTATAACTTATTCAGTAGAAGGTTCTTATATACGATTTACAGAAATTATAGGAAGGATACAGAACCTAGTTTTACAGCAATTACGTAGTCAAAGATATTGAGTATTTAATGACGTCACTATCGACTGCTTTTTCTAATGTTAGGATTTATAGATCAATACCAAATTCGTAAATTGGAATAAGTAACACGGTAATTTAATCAAAAGATCTAGTAAAAAAATACGGAGACGGCAAAATAGGGGACCTCACATCTGTATAATAAGCTGTAGCGTCCAATAAATTAAAAGGTAACTGAAATTTATGATTGTCGATTGTGGTATGAATATTGGAAAGATCTATATTTTAGAATAAGTAGATTTATGAGGCATATTTCCATCTTTGGAACTCTGTTGACATTAAACATCACTAAGTCGTACACAATCAAAGACTTTATAACCAGACATTTTCAAACATTCTAAGCTGATACATAGCAAAATTGATGAACGTTTATGTTGTGTGTATGAATAAGAGCAGGATTAACCAGGTGTGGCATTTTTATGACGTACGTCCCTCTCTTTATATACACATCGTAGAGTATACATTTCAAATTTGTCTGGCATGGCTAAAACAAACAAAGTCCCAAAAGCATAGTCCAAGAGAAATTTATGTGTTTACCTATAAATCCAATCTAATGGTTTTTCAAAGGGCGATGGCAATATATTACCCGTGCTTTTGTTGTACACGTTCTTTACTCTTTCCTATCGGACATGGACATTTTACACTGATTAGCCTGCCAAAGAGAAGATTTCTATGAACACTTGTTTTTGCAACAATCTGAAATTATCACCGCCATCTTTCATTAGGGATATGGAGAATGTGTTGGCACCTACCATGATTGCTTCTGTAACGCGAACCGGGGTGCGTGTGAGGGGTGTCGCCATAGAGAGCAGAGAAAAGGCGAGGGGTAAGGCATAATGTCAAGAAAGCCTTCAAACTACAAAGAAGCAAGCGATGAAGGGTAATATAAAGGGGTTAGCAGTTGGTAAGGGAGTAAAAGGGTAATAGAGAGACGCCAGGAATACGTATAGCGGTAATAAGTGGTGGGTAGAGGGGCTAATAGGCAGAGGTCGGTAGTTTGTAGAGGGGTAATACAGAGAGATCAGGAGTGGGTAGAAATGTAATAGAGAAAGGTTGGCATAGGGAAAGAGGGGTGGGTAAATTCCACACTCCTTTGCATCAATTGGTTATGCTCCTTTATTTCTTCAAGTGATAAATGATCCAAAAGCTAACAGAAGATGGTAAATACCTGACTGACGTCATTTTCATTTTCAAGAAAGGTAAGTGCATCGTTGTGCGTTCCCAGTTCTACCATAGAATTAGGAAACAAACCTTAAACAAATCGCGTTTACCCATGGATTGCATAACGTCCATGGACAGTTTTGGGACAGTTTATTCAAAGAACTCGAATACCTTGAAACAAAAAGATGTGTAAACATTCAGAAGAAGTTTTTGATGTTGTTTACCTTGCTTCATCTTGCTTGAGGGTATCTAGGACAGAGGCTGCATACTCCAAGTTCTCTTTGAGGTACTTCTTCGATATCTCCTCCCTCTCTAACCTTAAGACCAGACTGCGCAGGCGTAAGGCAGCTAGGACGGCCCCTTGTGGCGAGGTGGCAGGGGGCATGGACTCGCTGACTTCAAGATCAATGCTAGCTAGGGACTCTTCGTCCATCGATTGTGATTCTTGCCGCCTCAATCTCCGTTTTGTGTCTGTCTTTTTTATTATCCTATACTCCATTTCTGCATTTGGCGAGGTAGAGAAACGAAACCAAAGGACGAATCGTACATTTTATTGCTAAGATAATTTTTAGAACTGCTGTAATTGCTAATTTCATAAATGTGCTAAACACATTCCGAAAATAAAGGAACAAATCTGCACCCCAATGTACAATAGCAGCACCTTACAATAAGGGGTACAAATTTAAGATTAAAGGTGAAAATCTGCACCCTGTACGAGAACGATGCAGCAGGAACCGTTAGACGAGCAAGTGTTTACCTTAAAGAGTGCAGGTGAACCCTAAAATTGTTTCTATCGTTCCAGATTAGAGTTCATATTCGTATTTTTTTTTTGGGGGGGGGATGGGTTTGGGGATATAATAGTAAATGACAAATCTTCCAAGTGATTGTATACTTACTTTAACAAAACATTTCAGAGCCTTGTGGGCAATTCATAATTCACAATTCACAATAACCAATAAACACTCAAATTATCAGCAAACTAAAAACATCTGACGGGCATACTTTTACCCCAAAGGGAAAACTGAAACTCATAGGACCTCTTTCCATATGTAGAGATAAATTTTCAGCTCAACATTTTTTAATTAACAAAATTGTCAGCTATCCAACTGATAGTTGAACTAATGGATTAATCAAGTTTAACTTAAGTCTGCTTTTATTATAAAGAGTCACAGCGTCTGCTTTCAAAAACTTTATATATATTGCTGAATAACTTGATTATAAACTTTATGAAGCACAGTCAACTTTGATCAAATATTAAAAGGAAGCAATAAACTGCAGCTTCCACTCTTTTAATACGTTTTCAAAAGGTTTACGTCATAATAATACATGCACTACAGGTGAACTAACGCTGGCCTTGATCAACGCTCAAAACATGGTAGCATTATGATACGGTGGTAACGTTAAACAAAGATTATCAATGTCAGTGTTTAGTAATCGATTTCTGGCTACGTCTTGAAATAAATTCATATAGCAAATCAGTTTTCCAGATCAAAAATTTAAAAAATATTTAAAAAATAAGACCAGTTGACGATTTGGGGCATATGTTCACTTCACCCGGGTTTGCTCTAATTAAATGTGTGAAAGGGTATGAAGATGCGAGTTACAAACATGGTTAACTTGTCTAAGCTGATTGTAGGGAAAATTTGAAAATGCAGATTTGCATGATTTGTAAAAGTAGAAATATAAAAATGTACTCACTTTTTCCCTCCACTCTCGCTCTAGGACTGCCAGGGCTTTCCTTATTTGCATTTGCATTGTTCGGTGGATTGGCAACTGGAGAAAAAAGAAAATAAGAGGTGGAAGAGATTAAATAAACGGTGAGACAATCTCTGTGGTATGGTAACGCTGAAAAACACCAAAATGGTTGTAAACAACGATGGGTAACGTATACAGTGCTGAAAATCGGTGACAACCTTTTTATACGGTACATCAACAAAATATGAAGACAAAACCAAAATACGTATTCCATGTGAAGGAGTAAAATACTTAATAAAATGAATAATCTCATTGCATAACAAATTATACTTGTGGACCGCCAGGAGTGTCAAGTCTGACAGACATGAACGCTTTACAAAAATCCATTATTATTACTGTCGCTTTTTTAACTTGGTAAAGAATTACGAGGATGATCAGGTCAATGCCCAATTCAATCGAACTTTTCGCCAACAATTTAGCATTGTTTCAAAACGGAAAATACAGAACTTGCACCACTAAAATTAGGGATGGGTGGTCCTGGTCATTATTGTGACCTTCGATGGTATCTATTTTTTATCCAAACAACCGATCTACTACTTAAAGGCATCGTTTAACAATGTTAAATCTGAGATGCATGGCCCTACGTGTTGTCAGTGTCTGTGATATGGTGTAATATTGAAGCCCTAAAAAATTGCGCTTCAGAATGATCATTTAGTGCCTTAAAAAATCTTTGAGTGACCGGTTTTACCATACTCATTTTACCCAATAGACTGCAGTGTTACGAGAACCGTTAGGAAAACGCAAAATTTGATTTCGATTTTCAATCATAATATCTTGATAATTAGACATGCGATCGGCTTGTGAAAGTCATTGGATTCATCATATATGACCAAAGGTTTATAATTATTATTGCAGCATGAGCTAAATCAAGGATGTTTTAAAGGATAATGCAATTTTGAACTAACGTGGGACGAATATCTCTCGAAATGAAATCCCATTACCAGAACTCAACGTTAGCTAACCGTGAACATTCAGTGTGTCGCAAAGTTAAGAATGGACTACCTGTCGGTGTTGGGCATTCGGTGTCATGCCGGCCTAGCCCATGTATGGGGTGTGTATGTGTTTTGCATTAGTGTCATTGATTTCAGCGCGGCAACCACAATGAAGGTACCCGGGAAAACACCTGTTCGAAGATACCTCGCATCGCCAGCATGAGACATGGGGAGATATCACATATTGATCCATTTGGCTTGCATTTGTCACTGATGAATCTCTCCGGGGCATACGAGCGTGGGGATGAGATAGAGAGAGAGGGAGGGAGGGAAGGAGAGAAAGAGAAAGAGAAATAAAAAGAGAGAGGGAAAAAAGAAAGAGAGAGAGAGAGAAAAAAAAAAGAAAGAGAGAGAGATAGAAAGAGAGAGAAAGAGAGAGAGATAGAGAGAAAAGAAAGAGAGAGAGAGAAAGAAAGAGAGAGAGAGAGAGAGAGAAAGAGAGAGAGAGAGAGAGAGAGAGAAAGAGAAGGGGATGGAGGGTTCAGGGAACGCACTCCATTTCCAACATCAAAACCCAACATGTCTTTACAAATCTAAATTTCTTTGTTACTCTACCCATGACTTTAAAAAGTGTAGATCGAGACAGAATTAAACCAGAAACAGCTGCATGACTTTAAAGTATTGTAAACATTATATTAACTTTCCACTGTATTACATCGCTCTTGAATAAAGGCAGACAAAAATAGATATAATTATGATCGTATAGTTTCGTATACGTGAAAACATGTCACACCTGTCTTATATATTGTAATGTTCACGCCAAATATAATTACAACATTTTCGACATTTTCCTCAATCGTCTTAATATTTCGTAAAGTTTATCTACAAAATATCGGGAGACGTTTTACATTTGTCACAAGCAGGCATGCGTCAAGTGTGGAGTAATTTTCCACGTCAATACTGATCAACTGAATGGAACAATAAATATTGCCTTGCAGATATACTCATATGCATGTCAATACATTCATCAAGGCGCCATTGGAAGTGATAATATACAAAACGAGAGCCCATATAACAAAAGCCTTTCTCATGTGGAGGTGATCCTGCCATCGACAGTTTTGCCTCTGGCATTATGCATAATAACGCTCTCCTACTTTCCAATTTATTCGCGATGATGTGTTATATAGGACACTCAGAATTGCCTATTTACACAGAGTCACTTTCACTTAAAAGACGCAATGGAATGATATTCAACTCTCGATAGAAGAGGAAAAAAATCATCGGTTTTATATATTATAGTAATTCTACGAGGTTATAAGGACCTATCTCCAGGAGACAGAACGCATTGATACGAGTTTGACGGTCCATGGCGACTGATCACGAATGTAGATTTATATACGACGCATGCAGTGTTACGATCTATGAATAAAAAACATACCAGCAGCCATATTATTTCAATCTTGGAGCAACTGCATCTGTTCCCTCCATGTGCCCCCCGCCAAATAGCCCGGGGGCCTGTGCGTATACGTCAATGACGTCAGTCCATCACGTGTCTCGTTTCTTGGCGCACTTATTATGATATTTACGCGGGTTATACGGTTCGACGTTTTTTTCTTGCCTGGGACTGAAAGTATGATAGGCTACGGGGAAAAGAGTAATGAGGTTTTCCCCTGGCTCAGGCTTAGAAGTGAGCTCAAATCTCACTGGAATAATAGGCATTGAAGTTGCACCATTATCTTTCCATAACAAAATGCAGCATACGAAGGTTTGAAATCATACACTTATCAAACAGTACAGTAAGATAACACTCTCTTGATCTAACTAAAAAATGCAAGCATTCTAAGAATAGAAGTACAATCGTGCCACATTTTGCTCGTTAGCAATGAATTCGAAAGCCATGATTCTAACAATGATGATAATAATAACTTTTATTCTTATCTATTATACTTATTATATATATAGTTAGACAAATATTTCATATCTTTTTCTTGATTAAATTGAGTCATAACGTATCATGTCAAATATCATCACAAAGGGTTTCATGGCATAACTACAGCACATCAAGAATAAAGTCAGTGACATCTGTTTAAGGAAATTGTTTCCCATGAATGGTTATGAAAAACAAGAAAGCCATGCGATTCTTTATGTTCAGAAGTTTATGGTTACATTATAATCAATCATAATTTAAAGGGTTCTTGTACAACACACTTGCCTGTCAGAGCGCATATCACAATATAATTATCAGCACCTAAGTAATCACTTCACAAAAAATCATATAAAATTGACACACTCATCAAATTCAAGTTACCGCACATCTACCAAGAATTTAATATTTCCTTTTATCACCATAGAAGATGCTCTCTCTCACTCTCTCTCTCTCTATATACATATATATTATACGAGTGAAGTAATTCTGCCTTGGCAAAATCATTAACCGTATATGGCAGACATTACTGTCATATTGAATGACATTTATATTGCCGATTCGTTCAATAATACAAAATATAATAATATATAAAAATCACACAGTTTTTAATGCATCATGAGAACTAGGTCGAATGCGCTCTCACTTCGAGGATTTCTTTCATTGATGTTTGGTGTAAATATTAGACATGAAAGGTATACACATAAAGTACTATGCAAACAGAAATACAAAGAGCATCCTACGTTACCGTAAGGAGCATAATTCAACAGTAGTTGCTATAATATTTAATAGTTTCGAAATCACAAGGGACAAAGCGAATAATGTGACTACATTTATATATTTTCAGATCCTACGTTGTTTAAAAAAAAAAAAAAACCGCTGAAAGATATTCTCCTACAAAAATAAAACACACACACACATACTCGTTATATCAACAACAAATACTAATACTACACATTACAGCGACGCTAAGTATTTCCTAGGAATATTGAATGAAGAAGATTACATATATGTTTAAAATAAACAACTTAAAACATATGCGTACAACATACAGATGCCTGCCATGAATGTTGCTCCATTAAAAAATACATTTGGGGTAGGCGGGTAGAGGTCGGAGAAAATAGAAGAAATTAGAAATAGAAATTTCACATCATATTGTAACTAAGACCATATATCCCAGAAGTAAGTATCCTGACATTGTATCCACATGATAAGTCGTAAAGAACCGATTAAAATATGTTGATGGCATGCCCAAGGTATGATTTCAAGAGAACACCACGCATTATGCATGACATGGATGGCCGAGACACACCAAAGTCCAGCCTTTAATAAGTGCCGAAGTCTCTGCGATGAGTGCAAGTTGATGACAAGAGTAATCATCGAGTAATCATGAAGGATTTTTTGCTAGAATGAGTAGATAATCCCAATTCTACTCGGCACGGACGACGGAGACGACAAGCGTGAAGCAGAGAACAGCTCATGTGATGAAATTGGAGAGAGCTGTTGACTCGATCGGAAGGAAAAGGTTCTTGTCTCCTTTTAACGCTCTTCAAACGAGATAATATCACAGATGGTCGCTCAACGGATACTTCTTCAATTGCTTCGTCGAGGCACCATCCGGGTTTTAACAAATGTTGTTGTTGCATTTTGGATTGTCAGTCACTAATCTTGTCCGTCTTCAGAGGGATCAAAAACACAATTTCCTTAGACTTCACAATTTATATAATTTTCATGCAATCTATACTTGCATAACATTTCGTAAAAATATTATCATGCTTTTTTTCGCACTTATACCTTTCACGTGCAAATCAAACAGTGTCTGGTAAATAGAATAATCTAATGAAGAAAATCTAACATAATAAAACTCACTTTAAACGTCTTGTTCATATATGAGAGAGAACGACGACTTCAAAACAGGTTTTGCCCTAAAGTAAAAGCACCTCTATCCTACCTCATGAATTATAGAAAGCATGGATGAATTCAAAGATAAAAAATAGTGTGTGAACATTCGAATTATAATGTAATATCAAAAGTAAGATATGTCTAAATGAATTGTAAAATAGTAGTTTTATTTTGTCTTGAATTGAGTTCAACAGTATACAAAATTACGTTCTCCGTTCCAATGTAATCTAGCAATTTCCTATAATTTCTAAGAAAATGAGCATGTGAATTCTAAAACAAGTTTAAGTCTCGTACTTTTGTAAAACGAAAGAATTAATTAATTCTCAGACCGATGTTCAATAGACCGATTAATAACCATAACAAACCTTAAATTGGAACAATTATATGCGTGAAGTCCAATTTGAATGCAAGCCTAACTGAACAATTATAATCTAATAGACCATAATTCAATTTAACCTATATTAAATGCATCAATTTCCCCAGGAAAAGTCGAATGAGAAAACGAATAGAGAATTTTCAGCGTATTCCTTTCACACGTAGGGGGTAAAGGTACATTTTTTCATTATATCTAATTTACAAAAAGTCGATTTCAAATAGTTAACACTTTACAATTTGTGCTTTATAGAAATTAAGTATGACACTCTTTTGAAGGTATAAATACGAATTGTAATGATATTATAGTTTTGTTCCCATGCCATCTCAAATATTATAATTTTGTCATCCTTGTCAAAGTGTTGCTACTTTTTAGAAAAGAAGAGGGCTGATATCGATTGACCTATGGCAAGTGATATGACGGAGCCATTGGCTGGATGGAGCAGAGTTATTAAATGCTGTTTCATCTGGTTTTTCTTATAAACGTGTGTCTCCTTCATCATGCTTTCACAACCTGAATGTGAAAAAAAATCCAATAATTGCCTTTCCAATCTCCTCCAGATTGCATTTTTTTTCTACCTGGGCATTAACAATCTGGATTTATGAATTTAGAAAGTTTGGCAGCTGAGAGAGTGAGCGTGGAAAAGTATAGGATTTCTTTCCCTGGTTAGTCAATACAGTATGCGAACAACCGTGGAGATATTTTGTGTGCGTGCGTGTGTGATAGCAGTGCGCGTGTGTGTGGTGAGTGTGTGTGTGTGTGTGTGTGAGTGTGTGTATGTCCCTCAGCGTAGTAAACACGCCTAACGCGTCAGTGCTAAAGTTAATCTGAGCTGACCCTAGGGTAAATTAGGCGTACTGTGTCAAAAGGTACGGTGTTGAATACCAGGCTATTGAGCTTTGAAATTTTGCTCTATAATATTGCATGACAGTGTAATACCATGTCCGGAGAGCTGGTCAATGACGGTGGTCAATGTTGACCCATCTCTGAAGTGTGACTGAAACCCCGCGGTGTGACATCCGTATACTGAGATATAAAGTAATAACCTTGGAACCTGTCAGACATTTCACCCACAATGAATTTGACAGTATAAATTGCATTTCAAGATTCATCCAACAGATGACGAAATTGTTTACATATCACGTCTTCGAAATAATATGTGGTTCACAAGATGGGAATTGTAAAAAATTATGAATATTATGATATCAGTAAAGAAGTTATCGTAGATAAATATTCATATTAGCTGCAAGTCATATTTGTAATCAAAGAATAGATACAAAACAAGCACATCTTCAAATTTCAATAAGAGAAATATCATGCCTTTTAATTTAATAATTTATATTCTCAACCATGAATAAGGAATGCATATCGGATATGGACTACTTTTCAATAAATCACATATGCTTTCTAGGAGAGTTAGAAAGGGTAAACGACGTCTGCTTCAAAACAGACCTCGATTTTTTTCAATCTATTCGATGGCCTTACAATATTTCCGACACCTCCGCCCTTAGGGTATACCTCCTCGCAAGTGAATGTGTAGATAACCTTTCCTCTACACTTTACACCTCATCATCCTGCTTGTTAGACCAGAACCATAATCCCTGGTCGGATTTCATCCTTTATCACTCTGTGATGCTGAGGGTAGCTCTACGGCCTTAAACTAGGTCTACGTTCATATCTTATGAAGATAGCTGGTTTACGTATTAAAGGGGCATGTTCCCCGTATTCCAGAGGGCGCTCAAAATACGAACGCGCTGGCGGACGGCGCTATAGCTGCCTATCGACGCAAACAGAATACGGCTCTCACGCAGATGGCATGTTCCGATAACTACACTGGCGGGAAAGTGCCCCTTTAAGATATATGTGCATATGGACTGTTTTATGCTGCATGTACGTTTCCACAAACGGTCACACATTTATTTCACATAACATAGGGTCCTCACGACCGTCTAACCACACCGATTACTGAATTCTATAATACTTACAGGCTTGATTCAAGGAACACCCGTGTCCCGTAAGCAATGTGTTAAGTGAAAGATTAAAAAACCTAAGCATGTTGAGCTCTGGTATTCTATATTGATGCTTATCCTTGTATCCATTTATTTAAGACACATTTGTTACATTTTCGTGTTACTGACATCAATAGAGGTATTCATTTTCCAAAATCTATAACACATCTTAAACTAAATCACTCCACTGCGGAATACAGTCATTCCCAATTTCCCATAAACACATGTGCACGAACACAGAAACATTTCTTAACATATGCCAGCATCTTGAACCCTAAGAACTCCTCCTCACATTCGGCTAATATAATGGATGTAGTGGCCCCGGAGAGACCAAAAGGGTTCTTCACATCATGCCCTTCTATCTGTTTCCTCACACCTCTACTCATTTACTGCACTACTCGTGTTTGTCTACGCGTGGGTCGATTACACATGCGCGAGCACGGATAGGGCGAGATTAATCCCGAGTTGAAGATGTACCCGAGGAACGGTACACAAACACCGTAGCATGCCAGATCAATGCTCGATGCGAGATCCTGCCAGATCCTTAAAGGGAAATACCATTTTTTTCAGAATCTGTCTCAAGTCTTTGTCATATCTGAATTCGTTTTTCTCTTTCATTTCTCTCTTCTTTTTTCATCAGAACAGCACGGAGGGTGAGTTGCCTTTTGCGTCTTTTAATTCCTTAATGGGAATATCGTCATAAGTCAACGTCACCGTACTTGTCGCCTTTGGCATCTCTACAATTTTTCAATTTTTTCGATAAAGGGAAAGGATAAGGGAGTGAAAAGGAATGAGGAAGACTGATATATTTTCGAGACAAAAAAGGAATAAATTTAGAACACGTTGTTTTTGCAGTTACATAGCATTAATTGAATGCTTTACATTTTTTTGAAAATAAATAGCGAAGTGCCTATACATATCATGATTATGATCCAACGATTTTATGACAACTCATTTCCTCAAGTAATTTTCATCAATGATGACAGGGAAATTTGAACAATAGTTTAAATATATGTCAATCCATAAAGAAGGACACGGTTTTAATTGTAGAGTAAAGCGATTGAGATAGCCTAAATCGAAAGAGCAATTGAACACAACCCCTTCCTCTCATCCAACACTACACACACCAACAAAAGCACACGTCATCGCACACTCACATATAAAATAAAACGACTGGTTCATTCATGTTTGCCTTTGATCACGAGGGTAGGCATCTCGTCCATGATAAGTGCGCTCGCTTGGATGGCTTTTCGGCAGTTTATATTGCCCTAGTATTCAATTTTGAAATCCAATTTTGCGTGTATTAAGTTGGATTACAGCGTATGGGTATTCAATCCCTGAGCCTAACATAAAATTCAAGGGAGTTGATTCAAGTGAGGTAGATAAAGATAGACATTGGGATACAGATAAGGAAGAAGAAGTCTGAATAATGAATTCAAAGGAGAAAGCTGATATAATGATCAGCGAATACTAGTAGGTGAAAAGGAAGAAAGGCTAAAATCTGATGGAGGAATTGAGGGGAAGAGACTTTAAAACTCGGTAATGGGTGAAAAATAATAGAAAATATCAAATTAAAGATGGCATGACGAAGAGAGGGAGAGAGAGAAAGAAGAGAGAGAGAGAGAGAGAGAGAGAGAGAGAGATAGAGAAGAGATAGTAGTGATAGCGAGAGAGAAATAATACAGCGAGAGGAAAAACGAGAGAGAGGGGGGTGGCTGGAGAGGTAGAGAGGTAGAGAGATAGAAACAAGACAGACAGATATATATATAGAGAGAGAGAGAGAGAGAGAGAAGAGAGAGGGCGCACTCACAGGACATGGGGTCAAGTGGAGCCAAGATAGAGAGGGAATAATGAAGGCAAATGAAGCCACAAGTATGCCACAAAAATGTGAAACGCCAAGCGAGAGGGAAAGTGAGGAGTATTTCCACAAGTCTTCTATATTTCTAATCGGTTGAAGTATTGATTTCAGGAATGTGTGCATTTTACTTACAAATATGTATTTTTCACGATTTCTCATATTGAGTCTTATGACTTGGCCGGGGTAGCTGAAATGCGGGTATAATTATAATAGCATTTCCATTCGCAAAGCGGTGCATTGATCACGAAATCATATTTCTTAAATTTGATGTTGAAATGCAAATTGTTTTAAACATGAGTATGTCAAATAATACAAAGCTGCTAACATTACATATTATTTGGTATAATATTATTTTCCCCACTTGTACAAAAAAATTCATGTGTGACGTTGATATAAAAGAAATACAAATGTATTTTTAAAAGCTTAATGAAATTCATCTTCTCTGTGAAGAAGAAACGTCTTTCACAGAGCAGCGAAGAGAGCGAGCAGATAGTGTCATTTTTGTTATGATAATTAAACTCAACGCAGCTTCCATCCGTCACATTTCAATCAACTTCTGCGGTTTTCGAGACTTAAAACGCGGTTTATTAATTCCATTTATTTGATCAAATTGAATAGTATTTCAATGCAATTGAAATGCATGGTCTATGATGGGCATCGTTTCGCAAAACGAGCCCACAATCACAAGGAGATGTGACATTTTGATGATGGATCGCTCCGTTCACTTAGAAAGGGTAAACTATTCGTAAATACGTCTATTGCATTTCCTGTTGGATTTGGTGCCATAAGTTTCACTGGCGATCTCTGAAATGAACTGAAAAGCAGCATCGAGTGTGTGTTTGTATTCAAATGAGTTAAAACACATTGTCATCATTAAATTAAGGGCGCTTTCCAATTGAGTTGTGTAAAATATATTTAGAATTTTGAATTCATCGGACTTCATCAGGGGAAGATATGAACTTAGTCTTATGATTTATTTATTTATTATTTTTGCCTGGCATTAAATGAAGTAAAAATACACAAAGAGCTTTTGTCATGGAAAATACGTAGCAATATACCAATACAGTATGAACAAAGAAGAAGATAGACACACGAGTCAATCAATGAGGATAACCTCAAAAATTGTGAGTTCAGTCGAGGAAGGGATGACAGGGAAGGGGGTGGGGGTCCTCTATATTACCTGATGCAAAGCTGAAATTGTGATTGTCAAGGATATAGAGCTAGATATGATTTGTAAGCAACATTTTCTTACTGCTCTGACAAATGAAACTATCATTTGTTGCATGTTGTTTGTTGTTATTATACCATAAATAATTTAGAAACATGTATAACCGTCGATTAATTTATGAAAGCAGTTATCAACATCTTGTAATTGTTTATCACGAGTAATGTCATTCGGCCCTACGCTTTTAACAGGTTTCAACGGGAAAAGATGGTTATGAAAAGAGAGCGCACTGCCTGGGATGCAATGAGTTGTCATTAATATGCTATTAGTGGACGATACGAAACTAACAGAGATAAATTAAACACTAAGTACAGGTAACATTTTGGATAGAAACCGCAGGTACATTACCATTGGGTGTGTATTACTTGTCTTGTTGAGCACAGGTCGAATCGTTAACATCGATTTCATCCTCGAATGCAACAACAACAATGTCAAATTTATGAAATGGGCTGAGTATTATTTCAGTCTCATAAAATGTAAACGGTCATCTCTTGATCAAATACTTGCGTATTTTACATCACCACCTGTTTTCTATATATACCACCCTCTTCTCAGGACGTTACCCACATTAGCTGCTTCCACCACCGCCTCGGAGCAAGGGATACGGCGTTTATTTTGCATTCATATTCCATGAGAAATCATTGAATTCTAATCAGCCTTGAATAGATTCTTGTCGATGCCCTGGCGGAATGGATGAAAGAGGATTTAAAGTAGCTCAAGCCGCAGGTACAGGTCACCACATATGTGCACTCGCTCGGGTTGCCCATTTTGAAGTGGAGAGCACCAAGTTGTGTGTTTTGATGCTAATTCATGTAAACACTTAAGCTCCATCGCGAAGCGGCCGCGCTTCCGAAGTACCATCGACGACTGAATATGTTATTTACGGCACACGGCGACATGTGAATTGCACCCTTTTTAGAATCTTTACCCCATCCTTTGGAAGTGCTTGGGCTGGCTTTTGAGGCAAACCAACGCGAAAAACGGTAACTCTGTAGTGGCACTCTAAGATAACTCGTTGAAAATAAATGAAAGTTAATGTAAAAAATTGTCTGAATGCTACTACATGTTAGGGTATAATTATGAATAATGTAGAAAGCACTAGAGCGTATGAAACTGGTGTCATGAAATTATTTATTTGGTGTAACAAACATTAACATTAATGACAATGGTGTTATTATTAGTATCAATGATTGGTTTCGTGTTTCGAACTTAATATAATTATTTCATGCTTGCAAGGAATTTATAATCGTTCAATTATCTAAAGAAGAATGTAAAATACATGCAAAGCAATAAACATTGGGAAAACGAAATTTCTTTGAACAAATTGTTTGAATCCATATAGATGTTCATATCTTTACAACAGGTGGATGATGGGAATCGATGACGTCATAGATTTGTGTTCTTGTGACCGAAATGTCTGGTACGTGATGAGCATTGTTGAGAGGAACATGTTAGACTTTCATCAAAATTTTATTATTTATAATTGATTTACCGGACAATACGCGTTATCAATCATAAATGTCAGTAAAAGAAACATTTGCTAGGCAATGTGGGGAGAGGATAATAGATTATGATGACCGAATGGTCTGAGACATGTCTATTGTTTATAGCAGAAATAGATCAAAGAGAGGGAGATTATTTACACTAATTGGATATAATCGTGTGTATATCGGTTGGGAGATGGAAGCTGATAAAGGATTAATAAGTAGTCATTAGTTAAACATTACTACCAATTTTGATAACATCCGTTTTTGCGCCAGATGGGCGTTATCTGCTAGATTTTAATTTACAGCTAATACCCTTTTTGCTCCAAATAGACGTCGATGTGAAATAATCAAGATACTGAATCATAATATCTCTTACAATTGTGATGAATGAA